GTAAATATACTATAATTTATTTATATCTATACTTTAATTTATTTCTAACTGGCTCGTAGCCCTTCTATTTATTTACATTGATTTATTCTAATTGAGCCATATTATTATATTTATATTAAAATTTATATTATCTCAATTGTACATTAATAATGCACGTATATAAATGAAAATGAACTTTATTTTTTTAAATGAGATAATTGGTGAAGAATCGTTATTTATCTAAAAATTATGAAATACTGCAAACTTTTGAGCGATAGTATATGGTGAATTTATTTGCAACAATTTGTTATAAATAATATATCTATCGAAATATGGTATGTGAATTGTATACGGATTATTTTTGGACAAATTTTACAAATGTCTTAATTCATTAATATTCAAGAAAATGCTGATTAAATAATGTAATCTGGTGTTGCTATTAATTGTAGTTGCCATTTTTGAACAAAATTTAAACGGTTTATTATTTCCGTATCTGTGCCTTAACTATAATTTAAAAATAAAATGTATGCCTGCACGCTGAACATGTTTTAACAACATTACAATCAGTTATCTTATTTTCTCAGCTAGAAGCCGTGATAATATTGTCAAAACGTTGGTATCCATAAGACAAACGCAAGATATCTTATAGATCTTAAGTATAGATTAAATATTATTAAATAAATAATGTAGGTAATCAACAAATTAATCAGTTAGCGCTTGTTAGTTTGCAAATCAAAGAACGTACTAATTGTTTCAAATCAACGATTATACTAGGAAGATACATAATATGATATCTATAATTTTAAAGAATTATTTTACGATACTCATCAGTGTGATATGTATAATGGAAACTTAATAATTGTTACTACCATTTATTGAAACTGCAAAATTACATCACCACTGAAAGGAATAATAGTGAAATGATCGAATTTGGAATATTTAAAGAGGATGTTTTATTATGTATCAGCACAATAGATCCTGTCGGTCTTCTTTAGACCTTAATTGTCTAGTCGAATTGTATTTATTTAGAACCGTATTTAAAATTATAATTCATAATTTTCTTTTTTCTTTAATATATTTAATCATGACTTAATGAAAATTCTGTGAGCCGACATGTATTATGTATTATTATATTATATTGACTATTTTATAAAATTGCTAAATGTTATACTTATTTAAATATCTTGTTTACTCGTCTCGTGGTCGTTTAAATTAGAATAATAAAGATGTTATGTCGCGTGTGTGCTTGCATGTCAAGTATATGAGTTGTGTACTTACTAATTAGGTTGCAAAAAAGTCTTGTTTGATGCAGATTGTCCAATTCCTTATTTAAATCGTCGTCACAGACACGTCTTTTTGTCACACCAGTACCAATAAGGGTATGACGTACACTGACGCTGTTTCTTCGCAATCGTATAAAATCAATAATAATTTAAGGAACTGTAGAATTCTAGCGGTCGTAAGAGTCAGTAACAGATAAACATAATTATGTGTGATCGTTGACAGTTTTTGAAATCCACAAATTAATTGAAATTTAAATTGCATCATTTATTTTTAATAAAAAGTTGATTTAAAGCCGAAAAATTTATAAAACGCTTTATCTATTCGCGATATTATTAAAATTATTCCATATAATATACATTTTATTATTAATCCATGTTTTATTATTAATCCAATATTGTTGTTTCTTACGTTTATTTTCATTATGTAATGCAGCAATGATGGAATTAATTGCGTTGGAACTGCGTATAAATCTTCATACTGGAAAAGAGTATTTCATTTGTCTTATATTAATTTAGTCCTTACATCTTTTACTGAAAATGTATTTAAAGTCTGCTGCATATTTCGCACACGATTTTTTCTAGTGAATTGCAAGCTGTATTAGAATCTTGCCACCGTATTGACTGCGGTGTTGACAGTGTTGATATCGCAACGCAGTTAATACGGTAGCAAAAATTTAATCCAGCAAGCAATCCAGCCAAAAAAATTTGTGTGCCACCTGCTTAAGCTAAACATGTTCTGTTTGAGTACATGCACTTCGGTACATACTATACATTCTTTATTAGCGAAACTACAAGTAACAGTTGTCTTAAAAAATTGATTTAAAACAATCACTGATTAAAGTTAATATTTATTCACAGGGAATACATTCATTGAATTTTATAGAAATTGTTCGGAAAATATAGAAATAAACTTG